GCAAGACCCCAAACAGTGTGGGGGGTTCAAGTGTAATGGATTCGGGAAGTCTATGTGGGCTGTCATGTTGGAGGATGTTTGGCCATATTGAACGTTTTTTAGGCACTTATTGGGCACTTTTTAGCTCCGTATGAAGCTATCTTGGCGCCATATGAGGGTATGTTGGCCCCGTTTGAGGCTATGTTGGCCCCATGTGAGCCTATCTTAGGCCTATGTTGGGCCATCTTGGCGCCATATGAGGGTATGTTGGCCCCATTTGAGGCTATGTTGGCCCCATGTGAAACTATCTTAGGTCTATGTTGGGCCTATGTTGGGCCTATCTTGACCCATTTTTGGCCTATATTGGCCCAGATCAACAATTTTGACCCCTTTTGAAACTAGACGACTGTTGGCCCGAGAGCGAAAAAGACGTTTTTCAAACAGCTCTGATAATGATAGTCGTAAAAAATAGTCGGTGAATGGTTGGTGAATTTTATATGAGCTATCGAGGGATAAGTTGTGAAAAGTAAGATTGATTAAGAAGAGGATGCATGTGACAACCCATGCATATGCACTGTGCTGCTTGGTAAAAGGCATCATATGACACGTGTCTTGCAACCACAGAGAGACATAGATGGGGAAGAGAGAGAGAGAGAGAGAGAGAGAGAGAGAGAAAGAAAGAAAGAAAGAAAGAAAGAAAGAGGGAGAGGGAGAGGGAGAGGGAGAGGGAGAGGGTGAGAGAGTGAGAGAGCGAGAGAGCGAGAGAGAGAGAGAGAGAGAGAGAGGGAGAAATAAAGGGAGATTTGAGGTTCAACATCCATTTCGTGCGACAGGGTTGCGGCGGACTAACTAAAATCGCAATTTTACCTCAGTTTTTGACGTTCAACATCCATTTCGTGCGAAAGAGTTGCGGCGGGGCGGAGTAAATAAAATCGTAATTTTACCTCAGGTTTTGGACGTCCGATGTGCACGAAATGCTGCGCCTGTCACGTTTCGAGAGAGATAGAAAGAAGAGCGAGAGAAAGAAAGAAAGGAAGAGAGAGAGAGAGAGAAGATCTGCAGATGTGAAGGTGCGAGGAAGTAGATCAGCAAATGTGAAGGGTAGATCTGCAGATGTGAAGGTGTGAAGATGTAGATCAGCAGATGAGAAGGTGTGAAGATGTAGATCTGCAGATGTGAAGGTGTGAAGATGTAGATCAGCAGATGTGAAGGTGTGAAGATGTAGATCAGCAGATGTGAAGGTGTGAAGATGTAGATCTGCAGATGTGAAAGTGTGAAGACGTAGATCGCAGTGAAACGTTGTGGCTCAGAAATGCTAACCTTAGTGCATAGCACAGCGCTGGACACATTACAGTAATTTGATTTACTTCAAGACCAAAATCATCCATCAAACACCCAGGCCGATACCAAACTGGCGCTAGAGTCACCTCAGAAATTTCAGATTGCACGATCATGCATAGTTGTTCACTCGTACCAAGATGAGATCGTCTGTCATCGAGTTGGATCACACACACACAGACAACACTTTTCAACTTTTGAACTGCTGGTCGCACTAATGAGTTCATGTTCGTCACGAACAGTCTTTACAGACAAACAGCAGTTGGCTACTGATCTTGCAGCTTCGCCACGAACTGTTCTCCAGACGAATCGACAGTGGTGCAAATTAGTTTCCGCCCGCTGCACTGAGTTCCATGTGCCACATGGTCAAACGAACTTGAATCTTCATTTCATTTGCGCACATGGTCACGACCACGGTGACCTTCACCGACAGAGTCTTCAAAATGTCTTCCAAGCTACAGGCCGCTTTGATGCTTCCAAGCAAAGCTCGGTACCATGATGCTGCAGATGTCGCATGTTTGCTCCTTTTACTATGGAAATTCTCACATAATTTACCAAAAAAAGCTCGGTGCCATGATGCCGTAGTTCACATGTGCTACACCACTTCACGCAAACACTATCAACAAACCTCGGTACCATGATGTCTCAAATCACACATTTTACACTACTTTACTCCGAACATGTCAAGAAAAAGACACACAAAAAAAAGCTCGGTACCCTGAATGCCGTGGATGAAAGATATTATCTCATTTTATGATGAAAAACCCACACAATTAGCACAAAAAGCTCGGTACCATGATGTCGCGAATGATCCATCTGCAGTACCATGATGAGGTCAATGACACATGTTCTATGATTGGCTATAAAAGAATGGCTATAAAAGTTTCCAAACAAAAACAAACTCGTTACAAAGATGCAACGCAACACAAGTCGCTCAAAAAAAGCATGAATTGAAAAATTGCAACTCCAAAGTCAATGCATGTTTGTTGGCCCGACAAATGGAACTCAGTGACACACATATCATGGGAGATGCAACGCTGTAAACTGATGATGGCAGTAAGCTCAAGAATTCCCCGCGGAGTATTGCTACTCCATCTTAATGAACCCGAAGTAAACAAGCAGCACACACAATCAAATCACCTCAGCTGCATAGTCGATCCTGTTTGACAAAGTTCTGCATTGTTGCTCACACAGTTCTGGCTGCAACAATGGGGCTACTGCGGTCGATCTTTATCTGGGCACCTCCACGGACACGACCTTAGTTCCAGCATCTCTGTGAACGCAGCAAGATCTTCCAGCCAGTCAGCAGGCTGCTCCCAGGCATCCACAACGCAGTCGTTGCAGTGCCCGCAAATGTAACATCTCTCGGCTGCCATTGTCTTCCAAACATGTTCTATGCTTCTAGCTTTGTTTTGATATATTTCATATGATGAGGCACCGCAGCAAATACAGATGGTGTCTGCCTCCTTCCAATGACACAATTTCTTCAAAACAGCTGGCCAACCAGCTTTTTCCAGATAGTGCCTGGTTTTTGGTCGAAACGAATACCGCAAAGCCAATTCAGAGCTCCTAGGCACAAGTGAAAGAATGTGTTGTAGAATTTGATCACCAAAGACATCTGCCCTTGCAGAGATTCCCTGCGCATTCGCTGCCATGGCAGAACGCACTTAAATAGCAAAATAATCTATGCGACTTTGTTGGACATGGTGCCGAAAACAAAAACATTATCACCATAAAATGAAAGCGCCAGGTTTCGTATGTCTTCTTCTGGAGACTGTTGAGCCCAAGACAATCGATATTTCCACTACGGCTTCAGCTACAAACGTCACATCTCTTGAGCGAAACGCATCTTGTCCATTCGTTCACATCTGAGCCGAGGGATGTACAATTCACAGGTAGTAAAGAGGTAAGCATTGACCTTGCTACGCATTTGCACAACCCAATGCAAAGCATCTGCTCTTTGACTTCGAAGCTGAGAACAGACTCCTGACTTTGACATATCAAATAAGCTCGGTACCATGATGCCGTGGATGACCTTAGTTGCACGACTTTACAAACAAAGGCTCGGTACCATGGTATCGAACATTTAAAACTCAGTAAAGTACTGTGAATGATTCCACAATAAAAAGTTCGATATCATGATGGCATGGATGATACCTGTTTCACTGCATTTCACTGCATTAACATGGACATGTCCACAAAAGTACTGAAAACAAAACATTGAGTCCCAGACAGCACGGAAGCAACACACCCCGAGCACATGAAAGTTCAGCATCGCTATATGAGCGTTAGCCTTCTGACCGCAACAAAGCAAGGCGATCATCTTGCACGCAAACCCGAGTCGACTTCACAGAAAAGCGCCTTTCTTTTTTCATTACGTTGAAATCACAATATACATCAAATCCGCAGCGTTTGTCTAAGGAGAACTTCACGACACATCTGGGTGGAATATCGTTCTGATTCAATGTGAAACATTGTCCTGATACATGACGTCATGTCTAACTGCTTCGTTTTTTTGGTGATGCTGTTTCAACTTTCGTGTTTACTCCCTACAGCAGAGAAATAAGAGAACGATGTTTCGCCAAGACATCCCGCAAATTACAGCTGCGCCACATGACGTTGCAGCGAAGTCCTCACCGGATGATGTTAAGTGTAAAAATCGGAGAGATGACACTCAAAGAACATGCCGTCAACAGTTTTCATCTCATGACAATTTTACGGGATGCCTTTAAATTCAGGTCGATGTTTTACACGTTCTGACTGTGATTTCATGATGCAGCGTCTGCTCCTCGCTCGGACAGTCCCCACCGCGAGAAACATACGTCAGGTCGAAGTGTTGTATACTGTTCTTCCAACCCGCACGGATAGTTCTTAAAGTAAGATTGGCACATTACAATTTGACAAAGACATCCCGTAAATCTAGAAATCGCTACACGGCAGGCAACGAAGCGCCCCGCCAACAATGCTAAGCAAAAAGATTGGAAATTTCATCGGCAGACAAATGCTGTGACACCCAAGGGATGCGCTGCCAGGAAAGTCTACGCACGTACTTCAAGGCCTTCTGCTCGTCCATGCGTGCCTGCTCTTCGAACTCTCGCATCCTCTTCACCAAAGGAGGATTGTGTTCGTGCAGAAAATTTTTGAACACATTGCGAGGCGGCAAATCCACTATCCACAGATCTTCGAGCTTGGTTGGCCTCGACAACATCACGTACATAGCTAAGCCATAGTCCGCTTGACTCACCCAGGATGGTTTGGACATGAAAGCAAGCAGCCCTTGTCTCGCAGTGATGCCCTGCAAACCGTAGTGCGTGAGAACGTAACGAGGTGCGAGCGGCAACTGTTTGCGATGGATCTGCACAAATTGATTGCCTCCAACAGGAAGATCCCAGGCTTGATCACATGTCACGGGACGCAGCCAAACGTGACCTTTCGGAGCACTGCCATCTGGCAATTCAATGGCGCGATATTCCAGATCATCGATCTCGACCAAGACAGCCAACAGCTGATATTGCAAAACGACACTTCCACTGCCTGTTGAAATTGCAGGTTCCTTCGGGTGCAACTTGATGGAGCGAACAATGACAGGCAACTCTCGACTGAGCATCGGCATGTCCAAAATGCAACTGACGCGCACCGCCATCCTTTCATACAGAGGGCAAATGCCCATGAGATACTGCGTCCTAGTCATGTTCACAACCTGAAAATGCCTTCAGGCTCTGCTCCCTTGTCAACTCTGTGGGCCCCGAGGCGCGATCAATGGCTTGCACCAAGAAAAGAGTTGTGGACCTCTGTTGAGCTTCCCAAGCCACACGCAAATGCTGTAAACGAGCAACCTGTTCCCACGCAAGGCCGCCCCAGTGAGCATTCAACAACCTTGCGCGCAAGGAACTGTCAGACAGAAGTTGCTCTCGGCTGATCACTCGAGATTCCAAAGCTTCCCACAATTCATCCTCCAGATGTTCGCCTCGCCGCATCGACAAAAGAATCCTCACAAGCTGCTGTCCAGATGCACACTCCTGATCCAGCAAAGTGCACAACTCGTTGCAATGATTCCTTGAACGCAATCCGCCCAAGTTCTGAGGCATTGCTGGTGCGTTGAGTCGCCTCGTTCTCCATGGGCTCTTCAGTGTCACTTTGGTCTTGAGGCGCCGCAGGATCAGTAGCTCGTGGCGCATCCAGCCATTTGCACAAGGACGATTGCGCAGTGGGTCGCAGTTGTAGAAAGTCAGCGACTTGCACTCCAATGGGCACCTTCCCAAACCACTGCTTCAAGTAGTCACCCATGTCAAGCATCAGTCGGGATTGTCGAACAGTTGCAAATCGAAGCGAAGCAGCATGATAAACATCCGCGGGCACCATCGACAACTCGTCCAACAGCATAGCCATGATGCCTTCGATCTTCTTTTCGATGGGGCTGCCCTTGCTTTTTGCCGAACGCAAGGAACGGCGATCCAAGCTGCTGCTCTTGTGCACATTGGCCCACTTGTGCAAAGTTTTGGCCTCAGGCCCCAGGAGGCGAACAGCAGCATGAGTTGGAGCACCAGCAACATAACCGTCCTGTCCAAAAAAAACGTCGAAAGAGTGGCCTCAACACCTTGCTGTATGCAGACGTCTTTCCGGAGCCACCAGCTCCCAGCCAAAGACAATTGCACTGATTGCACCTTACCTTGCAGGCACCATCCGCAATGCAATTGTCCGGATTGCTCCGGTTGAGCCACATCCGTTCCATCACCCAAGCAATGGGCGCGATCGCCAAAATCTGTTGCCGATTCAAACTGTGCTCGACAAGCAAAGCAGAAGCGTAATCGCTCGGACCCACCTTCCTCTGGTTCAGCTCCACCAAAAAAGCATCTTCCGTCTCTGGCAAAGGCTGAAAAACATGATCTGCCATCATCTCATCATCCTCTTCACCACCTGGTGCATGAAGGAAGATCAACCAACAAGAACACGACAAGCAAAAAAAAACAACGACGGAACTGACATATTCAACAAAGCAGCTATATATAAGAACGACAAAATTGAAACAAAGCAAAACTCATTCACAACAAGAAATCACAAGAAAGCAGAAAGGGACGCTCTCAGTCCCCACGTTTGCACATCTCTAGAAGAATGAGGTAAAGATAAATATAAAAGGTTCTTAGTAAGACAATGCTAAATCTACGGAATTTGTAAAACTGAATGAATATATATATATATATATTATATATATATTTATACTAAAAATATGATAGAAGGACACTTGGCCAGAACCAAATCTCACAGGCAAAGGTGAGCCACCCAGAGACCAAAAGGGAGGAAATTGGGCTGACCCCCCCCCCCCACCGAGAGAGAGACTGTTAGGAACTATGCGACAAAAAGACCTTTAACTGACATGACCTGGAGAGAGATACGAAACATTCATCATCCATCAAGTTAAAGCTTAGGTTATAGCTCATCTTGCATAATAACTTGCTGCTACACCAAACTGTTTCTTGCTAGTGTGTACGCTTGTCCACTGCGCTTGCAAAAAGCCCTTGAAACAAAATTATCAAGACACATCAGGTAACCGTATTAGATAACCACAAAAAATCAGGTAACCGTATTAGATAACCGTATTGTCAAGACACATCAGGTAACCGTATCAGACCCACAGCGTCCTGCACTCCAAAAAAAAGCATGGATTATTAAAGCCCCGCCTCCAACACAAAATGCTAAGTATTGCTTCTGCAGCATCAAAGACCTTTGGGCTTCCGTGAGCGTCCATTTACGCTCCAATCCACTGACCGCGTTGCCTTTGATTCCCAAATCAATTCTCGCATCCGGAACACCTCCCAAACCATTCACAAAGTCACGGACACGCTGCAACGTGTCCTGCAACGCCGACGCTCTACGATTGCTTGTGGATGACACATGTTATGGTACTTTACTCTCGACATGTCAACAAAACTACATCACAAAAGCTCGGTGCCATATAATGATCCGAATGGCACGCGTTATATCGTTTTATTATGGAATTTTCCACACAAAACGTCACAAAAAGCTCGGTAACATGATGCTGCAAATGACATATGTTGCACTTACACCACTGTGAACATTTCAACAAAAATGCACAACAAAAGCTCGGCACCACGATGCCATAGATGCCACATGTTACGCGACTATACTCTCAACATATCGACAAAACGACATCAGAAAAGCTCGGTACCATATAATGATCTGAATGGCACACGTTATATCGTTTGATTATGGAAATTTCCACACAAATCGCCACAAAAAGCTCGGTACCATGATGCTGCGAATGACACATGGTACACTACTCCACTCCGAACACGTCAACAAAAATAGACAACAAAAGCTCGGTACCATCATGCTGCAAATGGCATATGTTACACCGCTTTTACTAAAAAACAACTTCGGTACCATGATGCTGCGAGTGACACCTGTTGCCATGGAAATTATTACATAAATGGTCAAAAAGGTTCTGCACCATGATGCTTTAATTGGCACATGTTACACCACTTTACTAATGAAATGCCAACAAAAGTACACAACAAAAGCTCGGTACCATGATGTTGTGAATGAAACATATAATCTCATTTTATCATGTAAATTCCCACAGACATCGCCCAAAAAGCTCGGTACCATGTCCTGCAATACAGATGGCTTTCGATTGCCCAACACCTTCACCCAATCTTGTTCCCGAAACATAGCTTCGTGCAGCGCTTCTCCATCCACCAGCCACTGCGTACGTTCCAAATTGCCCAACTCTTCTTGCAGTAGCAAATCATCATCGACCTCGTGTCCTTCTATGACGGGCGGGGCCGAGTCGTCTTCCAGATCCTCCTCCTTGTCCAAAGCAGTCATCAGAGCGTAACGCTCCGCTGTCCGACGACTGCTGCTGAGACGACGTGCAGCACAGTGCTGCTGGAAACGCTCCAACCAAGATGTCTGAATATAGGCCAAAAACTCTTGCGATGTCAGTTGAGTGTAATGAAAGGGCACCGACATGTCTGCGAACCAGGCAACCCGCTCACGGATGTGCAAGATGTCATGATAACGACAATCTGCTCCTTCTGCTCCACAGAACAGCTTCTCCAAACATCTAAAAGCGCCACTGTTGCCAACGACGCCAGCAACATACGAACGGACTGATGCAACATCCCGGATGACCGGAGCAGACAAGCCGGCCAAAACTGTTTCCTCCCAAACACCTCCTCATTGACATGTGAGCTTTCCAGTGCTTCCAAAGCAGCGTAAAACGAGGAAAAAGAACGCCTTGCTTTTCATCTTCTTCCATGGTGTGGCAAAGCACCGATGTGACAAACTGCAATCTCCGGAACATGTTGGGAATGGAAAGGGCAATCCCAACATGTGAGCTGCGTACTTCTGCACCTCTGCATCCTTCGGAAGATGCAAATCCGAAGGCACCACTACACTGTCATCTGCTGCTCTTACTTCCTGCGTATTTGATTTCACCTCAACACAATAAATACCTTCGCCCGAACCGGAACATGTTGGGAATGGAAAGGGCAATCCCAACATGTGAGCTGCGTACTTCTGCACCCCTGCATCCTTCGGAAGATGCAAATCCGAAGGCACCACTACACTGTCATCTGCTGCTCTTGCTTCTTGCGTATTTGATCACGAAAGCTAGCGTCAGCTAGCTGGAGTCTTCTTGCTTTAGCAAGTATTCCGGGGGCTGCTCAAGGACATCACGTGATTTTTCACGCGAAAGGGCCCCCCCTCCCCCCCCACCCCCACCACTATCACCATCATCAGCATCATCGTCATCATCGTCATCGTCATCGTCATCGGTTTCGTCATCGTCATGGTCATTGGCATCGTTCTCGCCATCGTGATCATCATCATCATCATCATCATCATCATCATCATCATCACCATCCTCATCATCATCGTCATCATCGGCATCAGGTTCGATCCCCCCTGGTCCCCCCCGAGTCTTCCCGAGAGGAGATTTCCGGCTGGTAGAGGGTCAGCATCCTCACTTAGGGTTTGACGCGGAAACGCCACCGACATTTCCCTGCTGACACTGAAGCTACGTCTTCCCTTCCTTCTTTCTCCTACCCCGCTAGCTTTCGTCATCCACCCCCGGCCTCAAGTTTCACCTCAACACAATAAATACCTTCGCCCGAACTTGTTGATGCATTTTAACATCAAATTTAAAAAGGGATGCATGTTTTTTGGACCTGGGCACCCTTTTTTTGGACCTGTACATGTCTTTTGGACATAACCAGAATTTTGTTTGGACCTAGGGTCACAAAAAATGTGGGGGACTTGCCTGTGTGTTTTCCGGACCCTGTGGGAATATTTTTTGTGGACCTGCATGTATTTGTTCTGGACCCACGGATTTTTTTTTCGACAGCCAAATTAATTGTTTCTGAGCTCGGTCTCTGTTTTTTGGACCCGTGCACCTGCTTCGTGGACCTTGCCTCCATAGGGTGGGGGGCACAGGTGGGGGGGACTTTAGGAGGCCACGGTGGAACCAGATATAAAACCAAATGAATGCAGGAAGTTGGTCAGGGGCACCGGGAATATTGACGCAACATGAATGCAGCGCAGGAAGTTGTTGAGGGGCACCGGGGAGGAAGCTTAGAGATTAAAACAAAAATGAACGGAAGAAGTCATGGGGAGGCGACGGGGGATTAGATATTGAAACTTAATGAATGCAAGAAGTTTACGAAGTTTGATGAGAGGCACAGGGGGGGTAAGGTAGATATTGAAACCAGGTGAGCGCAAGAAGTTGTTGAGAGACAAGGGGGGAAGCTTAGACTTTGAAACCAAGTTGAGATGCATGCAAAAAGTTGTTAAGAGGCCAGAGGTGAAGTCTTGAGACCAAGCGAACGAATGCAGGAAATTGGTGAGAGGCACAAGGGGGGAAAGTTTAGATATTGAAGCCAGGTGAATGCTTCCAAGTGGGGCACAGAGGTGTGAAGAGTAGAAATTGAGAAGAAGAGGGCAGAATGGTAAGGAGGTGGGAAACCCAATGTGTCACAAGGAGATGGGCGCTGCACTCCGTGGAGAGTATAGATATTGAAGCCCAATGAATGCAGGAAGTTAAAGAAGTTTGATGAGATGCACAGGGGGGAAAGTTAGATATTAAAACCAGATGAGCGCTAGAAGTTGTTGAGAGACAGGGGAAGCCGAGATATTGTAACCAAATGCATGCAGGAAGCGCAGGAGAAATTTGGATATTGAAACAGCATAAAGGCAAGAAGTTGTGGAGAGGCCAACATATGAAACCAAATGGATGCAGGAAGTTGAAAGGCACATTGGGGGAAGAGAAAGTTAGATATTAAAACAAGATGAGCGCAATAAGTTGCTGAGAGATGACGGGTGAAGCCTAGACATTGAACCCACATCGGCTGCAGGCAACGAAGACCATCATGGACAGGCAACGAAGACCATCATGGCAAAGAAGTTTGATGAGCTGTCATTCCTGTCACACAGGTTGGAGTTCAAGGCCCCCAGACTGGCTATACCCCTCGCAAGCAGCAACGAACTCACCAGTGACCCAGGATGAGTGTCCAAGTCGGGTCAAGCTGTGAGGACAACACTACATGGCACTTCCTGCTCAGTTGCATGCTAGTGCAGCTCTAGCGCCCTACTGTCTGAAGAATTGCGATGCAGACGCGCCCGGACAGAAACTGGAGAATCTACCAGGAGGGAAGGGTGAGGTCCAGCAGGAGGGTGTGCAGGTCCAAAAGAAGGGTAGCCATCTCCAAAAGAATTGTAGTAAGGTCCAATAAAAGTGTCCAGGTCCAAAAGAAATGTAACGAGGTCCAAAAAAAGTGTTTTCCATTTAAAAACACCAAAAACCAACACAGCACAAACCACTGCAAGCAGTTCTGGACGGAAGAATTGAAGCTGGGTTCTGGACGGAAGAATTGAAGCTGGGTTACCGGGTGGTGCTCTTTTTGACTTTTTTATTTCATTGCCATTGTTGCCATCTTGCCCGCTGACACTGGTGCCATTTTGCTCCCGGGAATGTCTGGCAGTTAGGGCGGTAGCAGTTCGACAATGCCAGTCATGTGAGAAGCCGCGCCTGAGAATTACCTGTGTTCACCTTTGGCGAAAACAGAAAAGCATAGAAACGCTGAGAAATGAAGGGGGGGGTGGAAAACCAAAAAAAAGAGTTCACTTTTTCCCTCTTGTAAACTCAGCAACTCAGGAAGTGGGCATAATGTTCATCAAAGTCGAAAAACTTCACTCCGTCCACTTTGCCAGCTTTTTT